AAGAATAAATCAAGAAAATGATTTGCAAATTGCCAGAACTGTTTTGCTTTTATTATCTGGAAATTTCTTCACATATATATATATATATATATATACACACAAACTTTTTGAGTGGAACAAAATTCCTCCTTGTTCAGCGCCAGCAATGACAAATGTTATAATCTCTTTCGCCATCTAGTGGTCAAAATGAAACACTGCAAGACTCGGAATACCAGCTGTTTACATTTCAACAAAAGCTTTAACTCGACTGAAAAGACAAAAGGAATATGATTGAATAAAACCTCTGAGATGTTGATGAAATCATTTTATTTTCTCAAGGACATTTATGAAGCCAGAAAGTGAATTTGATTTTGTTTTTTGACTTGCATGTCATCGAAAACGAATTATTTTCTGATCACCATCACGTCAACATATAAACGTACACACGGCACCATCTAAAAAATTACTGTAAGTCTGGGGTTTGATGCACATCCTTGGTTACCAAATCTTGGAAGTCTAATGCTTTAAACATGTTTGTCAAATTAAATAAAAAAAGAGGAAATGAAGGAGTAAAAACAAGGAATATCAGACAAACAAAACTGGTCTGTCATGTCTCTGAAATAATGCATGAAAATATCCGCCCTCATTGCGCACCTTGTTCATTTTCCTCTGAAACCTAGAAGCCAAACAGTTTATAAAACTTCACCATTAAACAAAATGACCTGAAACACTGAAGAACCACCACCGTACCACATCTGTGAGGTTACAACAATCCACCAACGTTCAAGTTTTATTTCCCCGCCGACGCCTCAATTTCACAATTTATGGAATGTTATCAATAATTGGTAAACAATAACCTGTTGACGTCTTGCAACAAAATGCTATGCATTTAAAATAATGTACACAAATCAAACACGGATTAACAAAAGCTAACTTTTGTGTAAAAGACATAAAAAAAATGTGCACAAGTGAATTTGGTGATGAAGTTTGGAACTGTTTAAAATAAACCAATAACTCTTTACTTCTTTGTTCCTAAGATGGTGACATTAAACAGCTCAATAAGAAGGCAGAAATGCTCAATAGCTTGTTTAATTAAAGTCAAATAACTATTTCTGCTTGGGAAGGTTAAAGACAAATGCTGTAGTCACCATTAAGCTTTCCTATCATTTCAATTTGTGAACATTTTCCTGATGTTTGAGGTCAACTTTGGGCAAAGTTTCACAATTTCAGAACAATACTTTTATGTTAAACTCCAGAGCTCTGAAGAGACATAAAAAATACTGTATGTGGGCCGTTTGTGTGAATTAGGGACCACTTGATAATTAGCAATGAGCAAATACAGAAACAAAATCTGACAGACCAGGCTATAAACAACCTTCTCATGCTTTACAGAAAAGAAAAAAATCAAATACCAAGCATACACACGCACACACACAATATTTTCACATATTCCTGTGTAATTTTTACCTACCATTCAACAAGAGTGGTCAGATCGATGCTAACTTAGCTGCAAATGATCACTTTGTCACAGCTTAAAGTTACAGATTCAGACTTGTTCAATCATTTAGCTCATCTGAAGAGAGAAGGAAGGGGAAGTAATTTACAGGAAAATCCAACATTTCACCATTTTTCCCCCATTTTATACAACATCTATGTTTCCCCTTTAAAAATAACTCACTCACACCTGAATGATAGTTAAAAATAAAACCAGGTAAATATAGACATTTAAATAATTTACGACATATGTACACAATAATCCATCGTATTTTTCCAGCAGTGTCTTCTTCTCAGAGTGAGAACATCTTCTAATCACCCATCTTTACTTTTGAAGTCTGAGGGAAAAAAGAAAAAAAGAGTTGTCACTATGAACACCATCAGAAAAAAGAAAAAAAAACAGGAAGTGAGGGAAAAGAGGAAATCAAATTTACCTGCAGAATGGCTACAATGACACCAAACAGGCCAATTGCGCTGCCAAAGATTTCCACGATGAGGATCTTGACAAAGAGGCTCGCGTTCTGGGCGTCGGCCAGAGCTGCCCCGCTGCCGACGATGCCGACGCAGATCCCGCAGAACAGGTTGGAGAAGCCCACAGTCAGACCAGCCCCAAACATGGAGTAACCTGATGGAAAGGGGAACAAAATGAGTCAAGAGACTTATTATAAAACAGTGGAACTGCCAAAAGAAAAAAAAAAGGAAATGCATGTGCTTCTTAATGTGACAACAATAAATATAGGACTGAACGTCTTGGTGCAATTTTCTGCTAAAGTTGTCCACTTAGACAAAGAGGGGTTTTTTTCCAGGTTCCTTTAAAATTCAGCCACTTGTCTGTTTTCTTACCAGCTTGGTAATTTCGTGCTCCAATGGTCTCAGGGGTTGTTCCACTGAAGCTCTATAAAATGAGAGGAATAAAAGCGGTGAACGTGAGCGAACTTTGCTACTTAGTACAGAGCGTCAACGAGTGCGGCCGGCCCTTTTATAAACAGGAACAGGAAACACACGCCAACTAATACGACACCGATTTTCTCCAATCTCTTTTTAGCAGTAAGGACGATTTAAAATGTTGGTCTGTCAATCAGTTAGAATGGAGACTTCAATTGAACACCAGGTGATTACATCTAAAATTAACGCACATTTCTGTTCTTGTAAAAAAATGCTCATATCAGTTCAAATTTACATTCATGCTAATTTGAGACTAGAAATAAAAACAAACGTAGCATTACTTGTAAAATCAAAAATATTTGTTACACTCATGGACGTAACAGTTTACTTGTCTGTAATCAGAGTTTTGTTCTTTAGTTTTTTGTCGTCACATCGTTCACCAGCCGCTACTGCTTTGGCTAAAAGTGTCTAAAGACTTTAGAATCGTAGTTTAACCACAGTATCTGCACTTTTTTTGTGAATTAAGTGGTTTACAGTGTTGATGTGCTCCAACTCAGCAAACATTGATTCTTGGTCCTCCTCGTATCTCAATAAACAGCAAATCTTTTCTTAGTGGCTTTTTAGTGACAAACTACTGTGCCTCTGTAACGCAATTCAGGCTTTGGAGCTATAGCTCACAATTTAAAAAAAAGGGCAGAAAAACAAAGCCTTTGTAACGCTGCCCATAAGGCTCACAGATAGTTTGCAGCAACCTGTCATAATGGCTAGCTTCCAGATTGACAAGAACTTGTTTTATCGTGTACAAGTTTACAAAAAGAAAGGAAAAAAGTGATATTTACCTCAGCCATGTTGCTGATAACAATAGCCATGATGATCCCATAAATGGCAACAGCTTCACAGAAGATAATGCTGAGGAGAAAAACACAAACAGAGAGTAAGGAAAATAAAGAAGCTCCTCCCAGAAAACAAACAGAGAGCCTCTTGAATTCAGCTCTGAATGCGAGATGCGTGAATTGAAAACTCTAAAAACCTAAAGGCACATCTTTTAAATATTGATTTCAAAGTTAGACTCCCTGAGGAAGCCACATAAGCAAAAAGCTAAAGATTTCTCCATTTTATATTTAGGTGTAATTACAATTTATAGAATATTGAAACTTTTTCTAAATAAACCCACCTGACCAGATTTTTGGTTTTGATCCGTGGAGCCTTGACACCACCGCCGATGATGCTCGATCCAGTGATGTAGATGCCCCTGGAAAAAAAAAAAAAAATTGGTACAACATTTTTCACATCAGGGAGCCGTTAACTGATATAAAAGTTTTAAGAAGAGCCATAGCCAGAGGGCTGTTGATCATTTTATTCAGCCAAAGTTAAAAGTGACCTGAGGCTGGTCACTAGCATTTGTAGCAAATTTCCCACACAACAACGCACGACTTCTGTGATCCAATTAGTTCACTTAGAAACACATTCAAGACACGGCAAATGTAGCAAAAGCTCCTGAAGATTGTTCTGAATGATCCATTTAAACCACCAACTCTGTATATTTTACATAAACCAAAAATAAAGGAGGAAATGTTAAAAGAACTGAATATTTGGAATTAAAGAGAATATTATTCTTAGTAATATAAAATAATTATATTTGAAAAAAATAAGAGAATCCATCTTTTAGATTAAAGATTTAAATTTTTACCTTTAGAGGAACTTATTTCTGCCTCTTTTTCATAAGTTCAGGTTTAAATAAGCATCAGAAAGTGAAAGCTTGAGTGCACAGTAAAATGATAATTCCAATGTGGTGTAATTAGAGACTGCTTTTTCTGCAACAGCACATGTGGAGATTTCTGTTACAAAATTTTGCATTATTGAAATTAATTTAAACTTGGACTTTAGATGAGATGAATCCAATATTTTAAAACAAATTTGACGATTTTAAAAAAGGACCTTCCAAGGTGCCAATTATGGAACTCTCTGTTCATTGTTGCCCAAATCAAACTCTGGAAGTGGTCATTCAACTAGATCTGTTACAAAAGGACAACTGATATTACCAACTTTTAAAAACTGTTACGGCCAGAGGTCCTTCTTCTATGTTTATACTAAAGCATGGAATGACATTCCTCAAAACCATAAAGTCCATTTCAAAACTACAGCCCTTTAAGAAGAATCTTGTCTGCCATCTGCTGGACACTTTTTGTTGTGCTCATATTTAGACGTCCTATTTTGCAAATGCTGCCTTCCTGAAATTTGGTATGCTTGTTTGTCTTTGTGTCCATGGTGTATAATGATGTGATTGTGATGCTGTATTGCTGAGTGTTTTATGCTGCAGAACAGGAACCTGCTGTAAAACAGCAATTAATGCTGAGTCAGGCTTGATTTTTAGTAATCTTTTCCTGTTAAATCAATAAATCAAATCAATTTATTTTCAAACATTGCGTAAATATTCCTCTGTCAAAACATAAAAAGATGCCTGAGTGTGACTGTCCATTTGTTTCTCGTCGAGCACTCACCAGGCAGCTCCCACCACAGACAGAGAGATGGCCAAACTAATGCCCAGGTTGGCCCACATAAAAGGAGACGTCTCCGTCAGGAACCTGAGGGGTTAAAAAAATGTTATATTTCTGTGAAATAATGACCGTGCTGTTTATACTTGTGGATTCTTATTGAGAAAACAAAAACAGCTAAATGTATAGCACCACTTTTCTTAAAGGTTTCTTAGGAACTGAAGATTTTGTCAACTTACAGCAACAGAGTACATAATGTTACAACTAGCCATTTTCCATACTTCGGCACTTTTTCTGTATGTTTTTTTTAGTCTCCAAGAGACAAATTACAATAAGAAAAAAAAAAAAGACTGAAACAGTGCTCACCATGCCACATCGAAGCGAAATCCGAGGTCAAAAATGGTATAACAGATACCTGCAGAAATAATAAAAAAATAAGACAGCTTCCAAGTCAACAAATTTACAGCAATAGCTTTTGGTTTAGACAAGACTGTTACATGAATGTCACAGATAATAATCATTGCTGAACACTTTGCTTCTGAGAATCCACACTGTGACTAAAGTCTGTAAAGTTAAAAACAAAATTCTGAGAGAAGTCTGAAGAACTCTTCATTACAATAAGGTTTTTGCTCAGTAAAGGAAAAATGTAAAAGAAACTAAGGAAGTCTTAGAGCCTTGCACCGAGCTGATAACACAGATCGTGGAATAAGTTGGAGCAGATGTGTGTGATGTCTCAGCTTCACGTGAAAACTGCTGTAGTTCCTAAACCTTATGTTGCAACCAAAAATACCTTGCCTGCTATCGTTGTTTATTTAACGGAAAACTTTAACTCTTAAAAAAGCTTTCATCACTGAAAGGCTTCCGTCGTTATGAATTTAAAACAATTTGACCTAAATCGCCACAACTACTGCTCTGAGAACTTTGACATGTTAGCTCTCAGCTGCAGCTAGCATTTAGCATGAAACTAAAACTGGCTAGCAGGATGCTAAACTGAGCAGCAGCTTGTCACGCATATAAGCGCATACACATGTTTTTATTAAAGTAATCTGTTCATTAGATCTCTAGTTACTAACACTTGAAACATTTTGGACATTTAACTCGCAAATTAAACCAACAGCACCAAGCAGTTAGCTTGCAAAACAAGCGCAAGGCTAGTCCCAAGGTTTAGCCAGGTCCCACTGGTAGCTGCAAAAGGCAAAAACTCTAAAAGCTCAAGACGAGAGTGGATGACTAGCTTAAGTTTTTTTGGTAGGTATTAAAACATATCGTATTTAATTAACCGATTTGACTGTTATGAGAAAATTATTCTTGAATCTGTAACCTTACCAACGATTAGTATGGTGCTCCAGAAGGCCAAAGTGACCCCCGTGTAAAGAATTGCGTGTCCGTTCATCATCCACTCCAGCAGCATATCCGGTGGTCTAACCTGCTAGAGTAGCGGCTTACGCTTGGCTCAAATCTAAAATTTGATGCCAGACAGGCTAAGAGACTGATAAAGCTTTGTTTCGAAAGACGGCTAGCTACCAGTGGAGGAGGAAGAGCATCAAAAGGAGAAGCGGGTGATGTCAGCTGATTGGGTTTGACTAGCATGTGACCAAGGAGTAAAGGCTGCCTTCAATTTTCTCAACACGGCTGCCAGTGCTGCGTGAACCTAAATATTCTTTTTATTCATTCCCTGCCACGAGCCTTTACAACACTGTAAAGCTATTTGTACAATAAACACAACGGAAAACACTCAATTTAATAATTCTTTTAAATATTTCCTAAAAGGTTGAGTTTCACGCAACTCTCAGAGTGACCGCTAGGTGTCGCTGTTGTAACACAATGAGGCAATTATTGTAGATATCTGTGGTCACGACTTTCATTTTTGAATAGAAAACCCAAAAAAAAGTGATGTGTTACTGTTAACTCACAACAGTTATAGAAAAACAAATATGCTTTTAGTACCTTTAACATAAAAAACAATTTGGGACTAAATAAATAAGAATAAATCAAGAAAATGATTTGCAAATTGCCAGAACTGTTTTGCTTTTATTATCTGGAAATTTCTTCACATATATATATATATATATATATAGTGGCATTTATGTCCAATATGTAACATTGTATATCATTAGACAGACATTCAATTGACTATAACATGATTTTGTTTTTTTTACAGGTGTTGGCAAAAGTGTAAGTCAATCACAAGCACAGTTTAGCAAGACCATTTTAATAATGTTATTATTAGCAAACATCTTAAACATGTCTACAAAGTTGTCTCCACCCTTATTATGTTTTATGAAGATTGTGTCATTAGTCTCTCAGCTTTGTTGCAACCATTGGGGGACAAAGTGGAAATAGTAATGATTTTTTTGTTGTTGTTATTTACTGAAATTAGCAAAGTCTAGTAATCTCTTTCTCTGTTTATATGCAGTAGTTGCATGAATGGCTGCAAAAGGAAGTCGATCAAATATTTATTCAATAATCGTTAAGCTTTTCATATCCTTTCAGGAGTCATTTCTGTACCTTTCAATCTTCTGAGCAAGTTTTCTGAACGTCTCCAAATGGTGTTGCATCTGTTTTTATAAGTCGATCAAACCGTTGGTAAACACGAGGGATGTGTCCCTGCTGATAATCCAGTAAATCATTTCAAGTCAAATCTCTCTGCTGGGACAAAAATTGTCATTAGCATAAGAAGGAGACTCTGCTGTGAGTTAGTGAGGGCTCCGATAGAAACCACCCAGGAACCGTAGTTTTCTTCTTCATTAATTCAAACACGAACTTCTTGACAAAGCCTCTTACCTCCAAGGACACCGTCTCTGTTTTCATTTAAAAATCCTATCAAGTCTGTGTCAGTTTCCTCCTCTGAGACCACAGAAGTCACTCAGCTGGTAAGGCTGTCAGTTGTGTCCTTTGTTCCAACACAGATGGGAAATGATTAAATCAGAATCAGGAAGTCGGTTTGATCACAAAAGCTTGAAAAGTGAAATATGCCCCTCTTGTCCACTCAAAGACCTAATCAGCTGTAACACCTTTGTTTCTTTGCAGATTTATCTTTCTAGTTTGACTCAAAAAGAAAGAGGTTGGCTTCGGTTTTGTTGATCCATTTTTAAGCATGTATGTTTTGCTTTCAAAACCGAGGAAACATTTGTACCAGTTAGTGCTCAACAGGTTGCTGTTGCTGTGTATTGATTTACCAGATACCTGTTCATTAAACAGGTTTTTAAAAGCTTTGATCTGAATCCTGCACAAACTGTCAGCTCAGGTTAAAATCAAATGGTTTTGCTGATGCAAAATCCTCTGTGGTTTTACTCTAAAAGTGAACGGAATACTGATTCCTTACTTTTTGATGTCAAAATTCATCTAAGTTATGTAAAAAAAAACGTTTTTTTTCAGGACAGACTGGTTTTCCATTAAGTGGAAATGATGACACATACTAAAAAAACTTCAATTAAAAAAGCAACAAACGTTTTGATTTGATGACTTTAAAGAAAGACATACTGTATATGCTGTGATTAAATCATAATTTATGCTCTGTCATCTCATGACTTTGATGAGTTTAGAACAGATGCAGCGTTGTTTTCAGATGATGTTTTTTTACCAGCTAGTGAAACCTGTCTTGTTTTCTAACCTTGAAGTCTGTATAATTAATGAAACAGACAGAACAAAAACAAAGAGCAACAGATTGACAAGTTTGTCTCAGAGAATATAAACTTCCAACTTCTTTCATTTCATGGTGGAAGTTTCCCAAGCTCATTTATGAATGAAAATCAAGTTTGCCTACATTACTCTGACTAAGGTTCTCACTGTAAACTGTGGAATCACACATAAACAAAGATAATTGTAAACTAAACATAGCACAAAAAGTGAGGAAATTTGTGTTTGGTAGTTTATGCTTTGTTGTAACAATGCTTCTTGGCAATAAATCGGTTAATTTCCCTTTGAAATGGTGCCACATTTGTAAGGAACTTGCGTCTGTGGGATGAGCAGTAGAGCTGAGTATGTGGGTTGCGCACACGAAATTAGACAAATCCTCTCTGCCATTGCCTAACAGCTCGTTCTGCCATCGACTCTGATGATTGAAGTCAAAAGAAACAAACTACGTTGTCAACTTAAGAATTTACTCATTTAGCATTAACCTCGGTAGAATGTGGAAGAACCATACACAGCCACAACAGCCTGGCTCTTGCTCCACGTGCTTGGTCACCAGCCTGGTCGCATCCCATTCGTCAAACAGCGTTTGTTGCAAGTCAGCCGACGTGGTTGCGTTGGTCTCTCTGGCACAAACGGCACGTCCAACTTGGTTTTGCGGAACACCAAATCAAAGTTGCCCCAGCACGGACCAATCAGATCAGTCGAGCGTGACATGTCGAAAAAAAGTGTGGATTTTGTTTCTTCCTATGTGGTCTTTTATTTATTTATTTATTTATTTATTTATTTATTTATTTATTTATTTATGTACCGGTCATCATGACTTTGCAGTGAGTACCTTTAATGTGATGTTGTTCTGTAGCCTCCAGCTCCCTGCACTTATAACTGCTCGACAGTCAAGACCAACAACTAAAAAAATAAAAGAGCTCTTGAAACCACTGAAAGCTGTTCAAAATGAAGTTGTTGTGGTTTTTTTTTTATTTAATGTCTAAAAATAAGAACACAAAGAACTAAAATATAATCCACTCCTGACTCACCCTGTATTCAAAGAAAGCTGATCCTCCTGTGACAAGTGTTTACCGTGACCCACTGTGGGAGCGGGACAGTCATAATTACCATTAATGGAAAAGAGTGAACAAAAAAAAAAACATAACCTTTATTAAATAGATGATATTTCTTTTGCTCATGACTTGAACTGCATGGTTATTGCTGTTACGATGGCAACAGTGGGACCGCAGTTCATTTGCCATTTTGGAGAAAAATTAAATGTTCCTTGTTGATATCACCTGCAGTCTGTGTTTACTGTTGTCAGCATGACTCAGGTCAGGTTAGTTTGTCCTGCATGGTGCATTTATGCATCTTTATCATTATTATTATTATTATT